AAATAAAAAGAAACATAAAATAACATACAAAAAAAGAGTAAAAACAAGAGAGAACGCTATAGTCGGGTGCCCTGACTATCAGATACCCGTTACTCAGCTAAAGGGAGTGCGAAGGAGTTGGGGAAAAAAAACTTTGATCCGCCGTAACTTTTTAACGAATGGTCCGATTTTTACTTTTCCGAAATATTGAAATTTTTAAAATCGTATATTAGCGATTGTGGGCGTTAGAGGGGGCGTGGCACCCTTTTGAAACAAACTTGCGCTGCGTAGGAACTCCTAGAATCTGCATGCAAAATGTCAAACTTCTGTCTAGTCAGACGGACAGACGGACATGGCTAGATTGACTCGGCTAGTGATCCTGATCAAGAATATATATAGTTTATAGGGTCGGAAACGCTTCCTTCTACCTGTTACATACTTTTGCACGAATAAAATATACCCTTTTACTCTACGAGTAACGGGTATAAAAAATGGTTAAAAAATTTTGCTCTGGGACTCGATTCGATTGCTATCCAAGTGCTTTAACCGTCTGGGCCACGAGAACAGCCGGCCGGCAGCTGACAAGTTCTGGCATTGAACATTTTGGTGTGCCAGAGCATATGAAAACAAATATTTCTATTTTTTAGAAAACATTTCTACTTTTTAGAAAATGTTTCTATTACTTAGGGTTGGTTTAATTTTAGGGTTAGGGCACTAATTTTTAGAAAAGGTGTTTCCAAAATATTTTATTATTTTCGTTTGCCTTTCTATTTTTCAGAAAATAATTTCTAATTTTAAGGGCATTTTTTCAAGATTTTAGGGTGTTTTTAGTTCATGGTAACCATTTTCTACACTTAAGAAAAACTTCCTAGATTTGAGAAAAACTTTCTTGACTTAAGAAAAATTTCCTTAGATTTAGAAATAACTTTCTTGTATTTAGAAAAAAGAAATTTTTTAGGGCGATTTTCTAAAATTTAGGGTAAAATTTATTTTGAGTATACTATAAGTTTTCCCTTGACTGAAATTTTGAAAAAGAAAAAGTTGCTTGAGTGAAATGAAGGAGCGCAACTCGCTTTTGAAAACTTAAAATCATGCCTTACAGCCTCGGCCATTCTCATTGCCAGCTCTTATGGTATTGGTTGCGTGTTGGCTCAAGAGCGAAATGGAGTAGAACAACCGATTTCTTATATGTCTGAGAAATTGTCTAAAACACAACGGAACTATTCTGCATCCGAATTAGAATGTCTGGCCGTAATTAAGGGAATTAAGAAATTCCGTGCGTATATTGAGGGCCAGGATTTCTTAGTTATAACGGATCACGCAGCTCTTCAATGGTTAATGCGACAGAAGGACCTGTCAGGGAGATTAGCTCGATGGTCAATGAAGTTGAGAACCTTTACATTTACTATCAAACACCGTAGCGGTTCTCAGAATGTTGTAGCTGACACCTTGTCTCGGGAAAGCGATCCAGCCATTGATGAGTTTTGCCAAAATGGTTCGCAAGTTGACTTAGACTCTGCACACTTTAAATCTTCGGAATACTTGGACTTGCTAGAGAATATATCCGCCATCCAGTCCAAATTTCACGATCTTCAAGTTAGGGATGGGTACATTTATAAGAAAACCTCGTTTCCATCATAAGAGACTAACCAGGAAAACCTCTGGAAACTCTGGATTCCTACAGCTTTAGTGCCAGATATTTTATACCAGGCTCATGATTCACCTAGTTCGGCTCATTGTGGTATGAGCAAAACTGTAGAAAAACTTAAGCGATATTTGTTTTGGGCATACATGGTCACGCAAATACGCAACTATATATCTGACTGCGTAGTTTGCCGTACCACAAAAAGTCCAAACACTACTCTTAGACCACCAATGAAAAAACCTTTGACTTCAGATAGGCTATTTCAAAAGCTATATATTGACCTGTTAGGGCCATATCCTCGCACGAAGAAGGGCAATATAGGTTTACTCATTGTAGTCGACCACAACACGCGTTTCCATTTTCTGTGTCCACTTAAAAAGTTCACGGCTCCTAAAATTTGCGAGTATTTGGAGGGGGCTATATTCTATACTTTCGGGGTTCCAGAAGTGATACTTTCTGATAATGGTAGTCAATTTAAATCGAGTTATTTCCAGGCTTTTCTTACCAGTTTCGGAGTACAACAAAAACTCACAGCTATCTATTTGTATTTGTATTTTATTATTACGTGTCATCCTAACGCTACAAGTTTGGAACTTATAAATTTATGCGCTAGTCACAGATAGGTGCAAATATTTACTTATTATATGACTTAAAACTAATTTTATATATAAAAGAAAAACTAACCTAAGTAGCTTTCTAATTTTACTTTAATTTACCTAATAGTGTTTTTAAGGTGTGAAAGTAGCTTTGTTTTGAATTGCATAGAACTGCTAATATTCTTTATATGGCTGGGGAGCTGATTCCATGATCGAATATCATTTATTAAAAATTGTCTCTCGGCTGTCAATGATCTAGGTCTTATGCAAGTTAGGTTGTTTGCTCTTCTAGAGGCTGTAAATTGGAGTTTTTCAAATAGATACGAAGGTTCTTTTTCGAAAATAATTTTATGGAGATAAATTAAGTTACGCATCTTTATCCATTCATTAAGGTCGACATTATATAAATAACAAATATTGTGTTGTAATAGGTTAACTTGTTCGTCAACTTCGGAAAGGGAATAAATGTTATTCCAATTGCACAAGTTAAAGGCTAAGTCCAAAAGGTCGTAATTGATACCTCTAAAATCCCTAAAAGCTATTGCATGGTCAAAATATTGTAGGTCAAGTGCATAAGTCAAGAATATTAAGTCATGTTTTGAAAAGGACGGGACAATAAGTTGGTCATATTTAGCTATTCTGTCTGTGTCAGACACAAAAAATAGGTCTAGGAGCGAGTTGCGAGTTTTGGTAAAATGTGTTGGGGATACGGAATTTACTAACTTCATGCCCAGCGATTTCATGTTTTCTGCAAGGTGGGACTCCCTTATAATGTGTTAAATTTAAGTCTGAATAATTTAATGACACGTCTGGGAAAATATTTAAAAACTGCTCATAGTTAATCCGGCAATTTGGTCGGTATATACACCCAATTAGCAGTTTATCGGCATTTCTTCGACATCTAATTTCTACAAACAAGTATTCAATTACACTGCTAGTCGGATGTTTACAAACAAACGTGGAACTTAACTTTTTACTCACATATATTGCAACCCCACCCCCCGTGACTATCACGGTCAGAGCGATGCAAATTATAGCCATCACATTCAACTAAGACATCACATAAATTTGGGACAAACCAAGTTTCAGACACACATATAATATCGACGCTTGAATTGATAAAGAGGTATCTGAATTCTTCAATTTTTCGTGTGAGGCTTTGGGCGTTTAAATGACAGATGCTTAGACCTGATCTATTCTTTCCGAGAATCCTTAACATGGCATGGCTGTTTGATCGATTTGAATTTATATTATAGCTGTCACCCATTTTGAATTGTTCATTTGAGAAATTAGCTGCGCACGCTGTTTACAAATAGACATGAAACTAAGATACACCATATTGATAAACAAACTAAAATTAGAGCGACTGATTCTATGCCTAAATAAATATAATAATGTTAATGATAATATTTTGTATGTTGGATATAAATATAAACGGCTTTTAGGCGCGAAAAGAATTTTCTGTTAAAGCCCCAGCACTAGCAGTGTCCAGGGCAACCAATTTATCGGGTGTGCAAATTTCCATTTGAGCTAGTTCAGTCAAGCTCTGCACGCAAATCGCCTCTCCTCCTACTCTCTCCTTTACGTAGATATCTCCACGCCTAGAGAAAACAGCTGTTAGTCGCTTTTGCCTCTTGAGATGCATCGCCCGCTTAAAAATTTCATGTTTTGGTTTCGTCAGCTGTTCGTTTATATATACAAACGCTGGCGAGTCTAGGCCGATAAGCTTTAAGCTCAGTTGCGTTTTCTTCTCTCTCCGGTACGCCCCGATCGCACGCAGCAGTGCTGCTTTATCGTGCACTTGTTCCTTTTTTTTTTAAATAATTGGATCCACAATTGTATGCCCCGACTGTCGCGGTCGCATTCGAAAAATGGATCGTATTTTCGGCGGCGGGGTCAGTTGAAGTGAGAAGCACAGTGCGTTGAAAAGTGCTCTCACGATCTCCCCCTGGACTTGTGGGACACCATGCCAGCGCAATTCACAGGCAACTTCAGACTCAGCCTGTGCGTTGCAGGAGGCTAACGCCAGCGAGAGACTAAATAGATCAGTATTAGCAGCCGTAAGGGCCTATATTGGAAATGATCACACAAATTGGGAAGACAACATAAATGCTATTAGTGGTTCATTAAGGGCATCTCTTCACAGGAGTACAGGTTCATCGCCGTATTTCCTAGCGTTTGGGCAGAATATGATCCTCAACGGCAGGGATTACGGTCTTCTGCGTAGCTTGAACCTATTAGCAGATGACACTAGGATACAAAAGCCAGATGCTTTACAGCTACAGAGGTGGAAAGCTAAACAAAACGAAAAATACAATCTACGAGCCCGGGAAATACAGTTTAAAGCCGGCGACCTAGTTTACGCCAGAAATTTTACTCAAAGTAACACGATAAAGAAATTCAGTAGTAAACTAGCTCTAGTGTTTATTCCAGCCAGAGCTTGCAAGAAACGTAGTCCATATTACTATGAATTAGAGAACGAAAAGGGGAAAATTTAGGAGTATTCCATCTAAAAGATATACAGAAGAGGAAGATTTCAGATAATGCTTCCAAGAAATAATCTTGTCTCCATTATCTGTGGTTGTAGTGACCAGTTAAGCTTTTACGATAAAGAATTATTCACCCCACCCTCGCATAGATAAATATAACTTCACGGCGCCAGAGGCCTAGGAAATTTACTCTCTACCAATACCAATGTCAACACCAATAAGTTGAGATAAGCAGATCAGAAGATTCGCGACGGCCCAAAAATCATACGAATAAACAGTTGCTTAGAACTGCAGCGGAAAGATCTGCGACAGTGGCTTATCTGCACTTTGGTTCATATTTTGCATTCATTCTCTGATATACGTTCTTGGCAAAACGTATGATCATTCGACTGTGGCCTAAGTTACATATTTAAACACGTGTTAACTTTACACGATTATATAATCGCGATCTGCGGCCAATTATTTAGCCAGGCGGTTATTAATATTATTAAGTGAATTTGTGAGAGTGAGTGCAAGGTAAAAAAATACAAAATTCGTGGATTTCCCAATCTAACTGATTTTTCTTAGGGATCCGCAAAGAAAGGCGTGACGTTATACGTATACCCGTAGACCCCACCAAGGGAGTCTTATCCTACTTTAGGCCGGTTACAGTCTGAACGTCTTAGGCCACCCAATCCCAATTGCCTAAGCTCCTATTTGCCCAAATTCTTGGTAAAAGTAGCCCAGTGGAGAACATAACCTCGGCCGGCGTGCTGACGCAACCACCCACGTATGTTGGCAATTGGGCACCAACAGTTGAAGGCAGATGTTATTCAAATCACCTTACTCAACGCGGGAACAACAACACATCTAGTGCCACCCAGCGCCAACTTGGATCGTGCCGCCGCAAGGTGCAGCGAAGGCACCCATACATTGGTCGTGGACTAGGGACAGACTAGCCACCACCAAAGGCTTCCCCCGGCGGACACCGTCCGTATCAATCTATTTGCATTTGAAAGAAGCTCTCTGATTGGCATGAGTGCGGTATTTTTATAGGTCATTAAATGTAGGTATTATTATAAATTTTGACCAACAGCTCCTCAACGTCAACTTGAACTTGGGCCCAACTTTGCAACGAAAAAGAATACTATTGAACACAAAATGAAAAGGTAAAACTTATGTGTTAGGAAATTCTTGAATTTTGTATAAATGAAATCAATGGAAAGTAATGTGGATAAATATAACTATAAATGAATTATAGGACTTGTTTAAAAATGAAGTTTGAATAAATAATAACCATGGTCTGTCGAGTACTTCTGCCAATCGCTTCCTTAATAATGTGGTAGAGATCATTTAATCTTGGCCTAGGGACAATGCAAGAATATAAGTAACATTGTCATGGAAGGGAGGGTAAAGACTTGCGGAATAATAACATCTAGATTCCCAAAAGGAATTTATCAGATTCTCAGTTGCTTTTCAGCGTGTCGGAACGCTTCAATACCATATTAATTGTTTTTAAAGCTTAGCCTTTAGTCTCGATTGATTGTTATTTTGATTTTTACGCACTAATAAATTGTGGTAGCGTGCAATCGTACCATCTCAAGCAAGGAAGAACCCCGACATCCGACGAGCTAGACCCGAGCCTAGCAAGAGTGCGTAGCCCAAGCTTGAATGTACAAAGGTCCTCTCTAGTAGCATTTACCATCCGCTGTTAGATGGCCGACTATCGAATGATAGAGTTAGAATGAGCTCTACAGCACCCCCGTACACTACAATAGGTTGGGTCATTTAGGCGCATAGGATATGCAGGCAATCTCGTTTCGAATTGCTGAACGCTTGGGATTTCAGTGTGAATTTTATTAAATAAATCCACTGACCGCGTTGGACGGTGAAATGAATAGGCCTGAAGTGCAGGGTATTAAGCGACCGCTCAGATTTCAGCGAGGCAATTGCGACTGCAGCCGCTGACCGCGAATCGCTCACATTGTTGTTGTTGAGGGACAAGAAAATCTCTCTTAAATTGGAGAAGAAATTTAATTACTTTTCAGTGCGTTTGCAAAGAGAGGCATATCGGCTGGGGAAATCTGTCGCAGGAGAGAAAATTTTCTTGAGGAAGTGCGGAAAAACCAGCCTTACCAGAGAACTGTCCCATTTAGAAAGCAAGTAGCCGAATTGATAGGAGATATTCCAATGGAAGATGCATTTGAGTTCACAGAAGAAGAAATAAGTAGAGAAGTAGGCGCTGTAGCACTCATCTGTTTCAATTGTCGAAAGGAAGGGCATCGGCACAAAGATTGCGTGGAACAGCGCAAAGTGTTCTGTCACGGTTGTGGGGCTCCGAATACTTATAGGCATACTTGAATTAGATGCCAAAAATTAGGGAGTCTCCAGATACGGGAATCAATGAAGACTTAGGGTTGGTGGCCGAGAATAGAACGGCAATAAAAATAGATTTTTCTCGGGCTAAGGCATCGTCTAGAAATGCAAAGAGCTTGAGGGCCTATTGGAGGGCAATTTAAACCATAAATTCAATAAAACTTAAAGATAAGGATGATCGCCCGTACGCGGAAGTTATAATGTCCCTGCAGGAAAAATGCGAACTAGTATGAAAAACAACTAGTTATACAACTAATATAAAGCAACCGGAATTTGTCTGAACGCATTTGGACTACACAAGGTCTAGAAAATTTATGCTAGTCGAAAAAATAATTAATACAAAACTAGTAAAAAAGAAACTTGTCACGGACTGGTACCTTTCTGACAAAAAAAAACCTTAAAAATATTTAACTGGTAGAACAAATACAGGTTAGGGTCTAGTTAAAATGCAACTTGAATTTAACTGGTTGCAAATGAAACACATATGATCCAAAAATATAGCCTAGAGTGTAAATGTCTTGGGAAATTTAACACTAAACAAATCAAACACTCGAGGTCCTCGGTTCAATCCCCAGTCTCTGTAAATTTTTTTTTTGTTTTTTGTTTGCTAGGTGATGCTTTAGTTTTATTTTAAACTTTGTTTAATCTGTCCAAGGCAATATATATGTGAAAAATCACTGTTTTTGAATTATGTCACACTAAAATTCATAAACCTTGTTAGGGCATTACAAAATGTGATGCGTGTATGGCTCAATCAGTTAGTGTGTCTACAAATCCAAAGGTCCCGGGTTCGAGTCCTAGAGAGGGCGACTTGCCTCAAAAAAAGTAAGTTTGTTTTAATTTCATTTAATTATAATTTACTGTATTTGATTACATAATAATTATCAGAAATTCTCTAAGGACCGCGCCTATTGATTGGATACTAAATTAGGAGAGCGTCAAGTTAGGCATCGTCAAGTACTAGTGAAATCCAATAACTTGATGGTTTAGAGATTAATTTTTAGTTTTTTTGTGAAAATATTTTTTTCAGTGTAGTTTAACAGCTGTAACCGTAAATTGGTTAACAGTAACTAGTGCAAAACTAGTAGCAAATGGACTAGTTGTTTCCGACGACAAGCATATGAAAAATGGACCACTTCGTTACAAGGAAATGGACATAACATGAACTAGTTAACCTTTTTGACCCAACTAGTATTTTAATAGTCCAAAACTGATTCCGTTTCCTGCAGGGGTTAGATAGAGTACCCTGCAGGAAACGGAATCAGTTTTGGACCATTAAAATACTAGTTGGGTCAAGAACTAGTCAAGTTATGTCCATTTCCTTGTAACGAAGTGGTCCATTTTTCATATGCTTGTCGTCGAAAACAACTAGTCCATTTGCTACTAGTTTTGCGTTAGTGACTGTTAACCAATTTACGGTTACAGCTGTTAAACTACACTAAAAAAAATATTTTCACGAAAAAAACTAAAAATTAATCTTTAAACCATTAAGTGATTGGATTTCACTAGTAGTTGACGATGCCTAACTTGACGCTCTTCTACTTTAGTAGCCAATTAATAGGCGAGGTTCTTAGAAGAATTCTGATAATTATTACGTAATCAAATACAGTAAATGATCATTAAATGGAATTAAAACAAACTTACTTTTTTTGAGGCAAGTCGCCCTCTCTAGAACTTGAACCCGGGACCTTTGGATTTGTAGACACACTAACTGATTGAGCCATACACGCATCACATGGTGTAATGCCCTAACAATTTTAGTGTGACATAATTCAAAAACAGTGATTTTTCACAAATATATTGCCTCGGACAGATTAAACAAAGTTTAAAATAAAACTAAAGCATCACCTAGCAAACAGAAAACAAAAAAATGTACAGAGACTGGGGATTGAACCGAGGACCTCGAGTGTTTGATTTGTTTAGTGTTCAATTTCCCAAGACATTTACACTCTAGGCTATATTTTTGGATCATATGTGTTTCATTTGCAACTAGTTAAATTCCAGTTGCCTTTTAACTAGACCCTAACATGTATTTGTTCTACCAGTTAAATATTTTTAAGGTTTTTTTTTGTCAGAAAGGTACTAGTCCGAGACAAGTTTCTTTTTTACTAGTTTTGTATTAATCATTTTTTCGACTAGCACAAATTTTCTAGACCCTGTGTAGTCCAAATGCATTCAGACAAATTCCGGTTGCTTTATATTAGTTGTACAACTAGAAAAACCACGCTCATCTCGCATGAGATAGATGTAGGTGAAGCTAAGCCAGTTAAGCAGCGACATTTTCCGGTGTCACGAGCGATTGAGACGTTACTATATGAGGAGGTGGATTGGATGTTAAAGTTAGGGGTTATAGAAGAATTACAGAGCCCATGGTCATCTCCGGTTGTGTTGGTCCAAAAGCCGAGAAAGGTCCGGTTATGCCTAGATAGTCGCAAGGTGAATGCGGTTACAAAAAGAGATGCTAATCAGCTGCCACAGATTAATGGTATTTTATCTCGGCTTCCAAAGGCCATGTTTATTTCCAGCCTAGATCTCAAAGACGCCTACTGGCAGATCCCATTAGAAGCAGAGTCTAGGGAGAAAACGGCTTTTACGATCCCAGGCAAGCCTTTATACCAGTATAAGGTCATGCCATTTGGATTAACGAATGCGTCTCAGACCATGACTCGCCTTATGGAGAAGGTAATTCTAGCTAATTTGCGAAATGAGTTTTTGTCTACCTTGACGACCTTCTTGTTGTGTCAGACACTTTTGAGACGCATTTGAGAGTGCTGAAATTGGTAGCAGAGAAAGTTAAGATTGCTGGACTTACCCTCAATGTTGGGAAAAGTCACTTTTGTATGCGCTCAGTGAGTTATTTAGGACACATTGTGGGTGAGGGGGTAATTTGTACGGATCCAGGAAAAATTTCAGCTATGTCAGAATTTCCACTTCCAAAGAATTTGAAGTCTCTCCGCAGCTTTTTGGGAATGGTCGGTTGGTATCGCAAATTCATAAGCAATTTTGCATCGGTGGCTGCCCCGTTAACTGATTTGCTGAAGCCCAACAAGAAGTTTGAGATGACGTCAGAAGCAGAGAAAGCTTTCAAGACTTAAAAAGTGCGCTTTGTTCTTCCCCGGTACTTCATAGTGCCGATTTTAGTAAGCAATTTTTTGTTCAGTGTGACGCAAGCAGTATGGGGGTTGGTAGTGTGCTTGTACAGAAAACCGATCAGGGGGATGAGTATCCCATAGCATATGTGTCCAAAAAGTTGAGTCGTGCTCAGCGCAGTTACTCGGTGACTGAGCAGGAGTGTCTTGCAGCCATTATTTGCATCAAAAGATTCAGGCCATACATAGAAGGGCATGAGTTCACCGTAATAACGGATCACGCATTTTTAAAGTGGCTTATGTCTCAAACAGATTTGCACTCCCGGTTGGCCCGTTTGGCGTTGAAGCTTCAAGGGTTTAATTTTAAAATAGAACACAGCTGATTCTCTCTCTGTTGTAAACGGACGTGTTTTACATTCGCTCCCACATTTATTCGCTTAGTGTCGAAATTTTTATACCCTTGTAGAGGGTATTATAATTTCAGTCAGATGTTTGCAACGCAGTGAAGGAGACGTTTCCGACCAAATAAAGTATAAATATTCTTGATCAGCACCAATAGCCGAGTCTATCTAGCCATGTCCGTCTGTCCGTCTGTCCGTTTCTATGCGAACTAGTCTCTCAGTTTTAAAGCTATCGCGATGAAACTTTCCCGAAAGTCTTCTTTCTATTGCAGGTAGTACATATGTCGGAGCGAGCCGGATCGGACCACTATATCTTAAGGCTCCCATAGGAATATTCAAACATATATAAGAAAATTCTTGTTAATTTGTAGGAAGTAGGCGTTTTAATTCTTGACTACTTAAAAACAAAATTCAAAAATAGGAACACTGAATCTGGAATCCCTGGAA